AAAACTCAGAGCGGAAGTTACTATTGGTTTGCTCCCGCTCCCGTCTGCTCCCGTTAATGTTTAATCCTGTACCGTCCCAATCCCGTGATCGTTACTAATAATGACTCCCATCCCACGGGAATCCCACGGGAATCCCGTGACCCATGGGATTCCCGAAAAAATGTCAGTCTCTAATGTTTACGCCCAGAATAGAAAGAATCCATAGAAAGTTCAGCATCTGCCAGAGTTTAGGAGATTCTGGGACGTCAGGCAGACGCTGGAGAAATCAGAGAGGTGTGCCGGGGGAGCCTGAGTTAGCAGGATCTGGATGGACTGCAGCTGCAAACCAAACGCTCTGTGTGAACTTCAGGTCCAGCTGATGCAGTGAGACAGATCCACTGATCTGGATCGGTCAGACGGATCGATCCAGATGATGTCAGCAGGTCACGGCTGACATTCAGCAGGAAGGAACAGCTTCCAGTGTCTCTGTGAAGCTCCATCCTCCATGTTGGCTCCTCCTCCACCAGCAGACCTGTTAGAAAGCTCCAGGTTGAAGGCCATCTCCTGCATGTTGTCTGGAGGAGCTAAAGGATGTTTGTTCTTTCTAACGGACAATGAGGACCTGATGTGTGCTTCAGGGAGCGCCGCTGCGCTCTGACCTGTTAGAGACGAGGCCTCTGACGGACGGTTTGGCTGTGAGGCTGCAGGCCTCCTTGCAGTGACTCACTTCCAGTCTGTTTCTGCTCCCATCTTATCTCAGCCCATACGCTCGTCTTATCTCTGCCTTCCCTGAGGTGACGGGACGCCACGCTCGCTCTCTCACTCAGCCTGCGCTCAACAGAGCTTCCAGTCCTGATGGCCTCTCCTCCTTTACCGGCCGCACAGGAGGGGCCATCGTCAGCCGCCTTCTGCGGCCGCCGTCAGGCGGCTCCACGTACAGCTGCTATCGATGTCCTCCATCTGTGGGGGGGTGTGATGGTGTAGGCTGCTTCAATCAGAGCCAGACTACACAGCGACATCTTGCAGCCTGGAAGCTCCTATCGAGCTCTCAAAGAAAACCTGAAAGCGAGATAAGACTCCAAGTCTGAATGAAAGTGTTTAATCTCCTCCCTCTGCTGTGTGCCCACGCACCCCCCCCCCTGCTATCACCCTGTTATGACTCCACAGCATCAAACCCCGTCTGCAGTCGGCCATTTTGTTGTTGTCATGTTTGGTGTTTGCATCTTTGTGGCTTCATCTCTTCCCTGCTCTGCCCTGTGTGTGTGTGTGTGGGGGGGAGGGGGTGTTCACTGACATAACTTATCACAGAGCTCTGTGGAACCTTCAGAGAGCCGCTGGGTTCCTCTCATCATAGCATAGAAAACCAAACTAGATTTCCTCTGTTCCCTGAATGTTCTGCTGTAGGTGTGAGGAGCAGCTGTGTTTCCATCCTGCCAGGCTGTCAGCTGGTCAGCAGCTAGCAGCCATTAGCCTCATATGCTACACATTAGCTCATTTCCCAGCACTGTGTTTACTTCCAGCAGCTAGCAGCGACCGCTAGCAGCAGCTAGCAGCGACTGCTAGCAGCAGCAGCAGCTGGCAGCGACCGCTAGCAGCAGCTGGCAGCGACTGCTAGCAGCAGCAGCTAGCAGCGACAGCTAGCAGCGACTGCTAGCAGCAG